AACAGTTGATGCTATATGGAACTTAAATCGGAAAGCGGCGAAACCGACCATTGATAGTTACAGATTGGTATTTTTGTTATACTAATCAGAGCAGGACCTGCTCACCCTTCCGGAGCACCTGAGATAATCCCCGGTTTTTGTTGGGCTCAGTCTTTAGTTTCTATGTTGTGTGTCTTTTCGGTCGTTTTTTCGTTTTTTTGCCATGGCATTGTCAGTTCATTTTTCGACTAATGATTTTGGATATCCCTTAGGTATATTTCGCCTCTCTTTTATCATCATGTCAACATAAAAAAAAGTTGGATCTTAAATTAATCTTTACTATCCCAATTTTTAACTAACAAATATACTTTCTTCATTTACATGAAAATGGTCCTGTAGAAATATTCTTGTTAGTATTTTCTTGTCAAAGTTATATAAAAATATTTTTGTATGATGATTTAAGTACATTCTATACATTTACTGGATATTCAGTTTGCTCGATATATGATAGCATAAAAGTTACATGCATTCTAATTTCATTTTATCGATATTCATATGCAGTTCCTTTTTCTCAACTTGCATACAAAATTTCATAAAAATCAATCTTACCTGTGTCAGAAAAAAGAAATTATCATACGAATAAAGCATTTTGGAATTATTTTTTTTCAAATTTGAATTATGTCCCCTTGCCAGAAAAGACCGCAACTAAAAATAATAATGATTAAAATAATATATATATACATATATGAAACTTGTAACATCTCCCATTACAAACGCATTATGCGTATGTCTGAAAAGTCAGATACTTATGTTGTAAGATCGATAAAATTGTATTCAAATAAGAGGAGATGTTTTCGCTTTAATTTAAAAACCTCTTATTTTGGAACCTGGATGTTCGCCACTCTGTGTCAAAATAACAAGCATTTTAAAAGACTGGTATAAATTGTTAGTACATAAATAACGGAACTAAAATAGCAGTAAAAAAATTATAGGTCCATGTCCTTGTTTTTGAGATATGAGCCTTTGAATATTTGGCGGGGAATATTTTCTCTAGATTGTTCATACATTTAAAATTGACACCTTTTCTCTTTAAAAAACTACAACAAGATAAAAAGGATTTGATGAGATTTTTAAAAATGGCTTTTTAAACTATATGTAATTTAATTATGAAAGGAGGAGTAGGGGTTAGCATGCAAAATTTGTAATGGCGCTACATGGATAAAGCCAGAAGATTCTGAATATGTGACAAAAAAGTCAAGAGCAGCGAACATCCTTTTTTTGTATTCTCACACAGATTATTAACAATTTCACATATATCGAATAAATATAAATGTTACTCTAGCGCTACATATTGCTGTCGAGGATATAATCAAATACTGAAAATTTCACACGTTACTGTAAAATTTTGCATCGAAGGACGTCTCTTACAAAAATTAATGTATTTGTATTCGAATGACAATATAAAACTCTACTTCCCTTAGAATTTAAGAATTTGTTTGTAATGTCCTTCGCGATTTTATACTTTTTTTGGATAAATACTCCAAATTTCCGAAATCTGTCAACATTGCAGATTTGAACCATCGTTGGCCATTTAAATATTATAGTTTGGTATACACCACAATGTTGTTTGAACCTATTACAGACAGAATACTTTCATGTAATACTGAGAAAATATAACAAAAACCGGGGATCATCTCAGGAGCTCCGGAAGGGTAAGCAGAGCCTATTCCACATATGGTAACGGGCCATACTAGCTACTGAACAGTTGATGCTATGTGGAACTTAAATCTGAAAGCGGCGAAACCGACCATTGATAGTTACAGATTTGTATTTTTGTAATACTAATCAGAGCAGGACCTGCTCACCCTTCCGGAGCACCTGAGATAATCCCCGGTTTTTGTTGGGCTCAGTCTTTAGTTTCTATGTTGTGTGTTTTTTTGGTCGTTTTTTCGTTTTTCTTGCCATGGCATTGTCAGTTCAATTTTCAACTAATGATTTTGGATATCCCTTAGGTATATTTCGCCTCTCTTTTATCATCATGTCAACATAAAAAAAAGTTGGATCTTAAATTAATCTTTACTATCCCAATGTTTAACTAACAAATATACTTTCTTCATTTACATGAAAATGGTCCTGTAGAAATATTCTTGTTAGTATTTTCTTGTCAAAGTTATATAAAAATATGTTTGTATGATGATTTAAGTATATTCTATACATTTACTGGATATTCAGTTTGCTCGATATATGATAGCATAAAAGTTACATGCATTCTAATTTCATTTTATCGATATTCATATGCAGTTCCTTTTTCTCAACTTGCATACAAAATTTCATAAAAATCAATCTTACCTGTGTCAGAAAAAAGAAATTATCATACGAATAATGCATTTTGGAATTATTTTTTTTCAAATTTGAATTATGTCCCCTTGCCAGAAAAGACCGCAACTAAAAATAATAATGATTAAAATAATATATATATACATATATGAAACTTGTAACATCTCCCATTACAAACGCATTATGCGTATGTCTGAAAAGTCAGATACTTATGTTGTAAGATCGATAAAATTGTATTCAAATAAGAGGAGATGTTTTCGCTTTAATTTAAAAACCTCTTATTTTAGAACCTGGATGTTCGCTACTCTGTGTCAAAATAACAAGCATTTTAAAAGACTGGTATAAATTGTTAGTACATAAATAACGGAACTAAAATAGCAGTAAAAAAATTATAGGTCCATGTCCTTGTTTTTGAGATATGAGCCTTTGAATATTTGGCGGGGAATATTTTCTCTAGATTGTTCATACATTTTAAATTGACACCTTTTCTCTTTAAAAAAACTACAACAAGATAAAAAGGATTTGATGAGATTTTTAAAAATGGCTTTTTAAACTATATGTAATTTAATTGTGAAAGGAGGAGTAGGGGTTAGCATGCAAAATTTGTAATGGCGCTACATGGATAAAGCCAGAAGATTCTGAATATGTGACAAAAAAGTCAAGAGCAGCGAACATCCTTTTGGTGTATTCTCACACAGATTATTAACAATTTCACATATATCGAATGAATATAAATGTTACTCTAGCGCTACATATTGCTGTTGAGGATATAATTAAATACTGAAAATTTCACGCGTTACTGTAAAATTTTGCATCGAAGGACGTCTCTTACAAAAATTAATGTATTTGTATTCGAATGACAATATAAAACTCTACTTCCCTTAGAATTTTAGAATTTGAATTTAGAATGTCCTTCGCGATTTTATACTTTTTTTGGATAAATACTCCAAATTTCCGAAATCTGTCAACATTGCAGATTTGAACCATCGTCGGCCATTTAAATATTATAGTTTGGTATACATCACAATGTTGTTTGAACCTATTACAGACAGAATATTTTCATGTAATACTGAGAAAATATAAGAAAAGATTGAAGGACATTTGATAATAGCCCCGATGTGATAAAATAAGAGAAATTGGTGCTACATTTTTATTCTTAAGAAATATGAAAAGTTTTGTTGGGATTAACCTCCCTCTTCTTCTTATCGCTTTAACTTTATAATTTTCCCCTTAGTAAGTTCCTTGATGAATCTTGCACAGAAGCAATGTCAACCCCTTGCTGCTGTGCATTAGTCATGAGGAGAACCGGGATATAAATCTCATTATAATATTTGTAGCTGGTTCTGAATGACCGCCCCATTGATGACCTCTGCATTGTGTCACCGGGTGATGTAAAGTTCCTTACTGCTATGCACTGGTCATGAGAAGAACTTACTACAAAATGAGAAACTATATCTCTTGTCCTATTATTTCCTGAGGGGGTGGGCAGCTATTGAGGGAGGTGGGAGAAGGGGGGAGGGGCGGGCGGGCGGGCGGGCGGGAGGTGGGAGACAAAAAATAGGTGGGAGAGAAAAAAAGATTCTAAAAGTGGGAGGTGGGAGATAGGGGGCGGGAGGTGGGAGAAGGGTACCCCTGTCCACCCCCTCTTTCCTGTTAATATCTTTTTATATCTATTTTTATGAAATCGACCTCATACACTAAACACAGATATCAACCATATCATACTGTAATAATACTATCCTATATTGCTCATATTTTACTTATTTCTTTATTGTACATTTTCACTAAAAACTTGTAAGTTTTATTATAATTATTATGATGTTTATGTATCTTGCCTGACAAGGGCCAATGATTGGTAAATAAAATAATGTCTTATGTGGGGGAGGGTCTTATGTCCTGAGCTTATGTCTAATGTCTATGTAACCAACGGCATTTTCAGATTCGGCACAATTTTGAGCTTGACCCACATTATATGGACACCTTTCTATTGTTAAATGCCCTCTTCAATTCCGGATGGTTATATTTGGCGTTTGGTTGCTGTCTCATTAAAGTGTATCCTACATCTTCTTTTATGACCCCCCTCTTTTATTAACGATAACGCGGGCGTGGAGAGTCACAGATAACACAGTAATTCGGATTTACACTATAAATTCCGTGTTATGGACATACTATTAAAATATAATAAAATATAAAAGTACTGTATTGTTAAAAAAACATGTATACCTCCTACAATTTCATAGTAATCGAAGCGTAAACCTACACTTAACTTTACTGTCAGTTACCGACACGGCAGGTTAACACGACTTATAAACGCACAATACCTCGAGTATTATAAGGTCGTCATGCGTCTAATTTTAGAGATATTTCTACGTCATAGTGATGGTGAATAGATCGTCTACTGACGATGATGATCTAATTTTAGCAGACGATCAATGCTAAATTTATATCAACAAACGAGAGCATTTGGTAGAACACTTCCAATAGCTTCCGCTAAATCGATAGAAAAACGCAATCAGTGTTCAATTGGAATCGTTGCTACGCTACGAGACTGTCATTGCTTGCGTCATAATGAAAATTTTGTATCCTTAACGTACATAATTGTTTGCCTTACGTATTTGCCTTATCCTATGGTATATATAGATTTATTTTATATCAATGAAGGTTTTTCCAAAATAAACTCTTCTAGAACATGTAGTAGTTTTGTAGAATTTTAAGCATAATTTATTTTATTAACAATAGGTCCTAGGGCCAAAAAGAAAGAGTCCTGACAAAGATTTCCGAGGCTTATTGTTGACATTGGGTTCAATACATGTTTAACAAATGGATATATATTCCTGACCAGTGAGACATTTGGACAAAATGGAAGTTAAAGAAAATATGTGCTAATTCGTCAACAATGTGCGAATCATCGCCTGGATTACGTCAGAATGGATGTATAGTTTCTTCTACGTTGAAATGACATTTAGTCATATTATATTATATGATATTACATAGAAACGGATTTACGTGTCATTATTAAAGTTTTACTGCCGCTATGCTACCAATTAAGTCATATTTTACTCGTTGGCATTCTACTGACTTTTGTGATATACCGTGCATGGTAAGTATTAAAAGGGTATGAAGACAAGTTATAAATACCTTTTTTTGGACTCTTGAGAATTTTTTTTTGAGCAGTGACATCTTCCCATCACCCAAAAAACGTCTTCACACTAGAAATATTTTTTTCCTATTGACGAACACATGCTAATTATGAGCGTGCACAAAGCATAAATGTACTTTTCGATGACAAATGCAAAAGGTTTCTTATCTATTTCTAACCTCTGTTTAGACCATCGGCAGTTATATTCATTTTAAAAAGATTTTTCTAACAGAAAAACCTAGAATTTGCAACAAAGCGTGAATTATTCAGGGGCGGATCCAGAATTTATGAAAAGGGGGCGTAAATCTAGAAAATAGAACATATTGCGCCGAGCTGATCGAGACGATTTTATACTAAAAATGTAATATATTTTCCATATATTTTCCAATCAAAAGGGGCGTAAGACCTTTAACCCCCCCTTTACACACACACACACACACACACAAACACACCACGCGTGAATCACTGATATCGCGGGGTAATACCACAACTACTAAAGCAATGCAAGGATAATTTAATGGAAGTCCTTAATTTCTTCAGTTTGTTGTTGCATAATGTTATATATCTCTTCAAATGTTAGGGTGATGTAATGGTACTTTAACCTTTTGTTGTGGTATCTGGTATAAGTCATCGATTGTCATTACTTCATATCGAGTACTCAACCAATGTTAGGACGGTGTAATGGTATCTGGTATACACTACATGTTGTTGTTGCGTTGGTGTTAGAGATATCAAACAATGTTAGGACGGTGTTATGGTATCTGGTATACGCTACATGTTGTTGTTGCGTTGGTGTAAGAGATATCACACAATGTTAGGACGGTGTAGTAGTATTTGTGTCTTTATGTTGTGGGTATCTGGTATACGCTACATGTTGTTGTTGCGTTGGTGTAAGAGATATCCAACAATGTTAGGACGGTGTAGTAGTATTTGTGTCTTTATGTTGTGGGTATCTGGTATACGCTACATGTTGTTGTTGCGTTGGTGTAAGAGATATCACACAATGTTAGGACGGTGTAGTAGTATTTGTGTCTTTATGTTGTGGGTATCTGGTATACGCTACATGTTGTTGTTGCGTTGGTGTAAGAGATATCCAACAATGTTAGGACGGTGTAGTAGTATTTGTGTCTTTATGTTGTGGGTATCTGGTATACGCTACATGTTGTTGTTGCGTTGGTGTAAGAGATATCACACAATGTTAGGACGGTGTAGTAGTATTTGTGTCTTTATGTTGTGGGTATCTGGTATACGCTACATGTTGTTGTTGCGTTGGTGTAAGAGATATCACACAATGTTAGGACGGTGTAATGGTATCTGGTATACGCTACATGTTGTTGTTGAGTTGATGTTAGAGATATCAAACAATGTTAGGACGGTGTAGTGGTATTTGTGTCTTTATGTTGTGGGTATCTGGTATACGCTACAGTTAATTTGTTGTTGCTTTGATGTTCGATACGAAATGACGATGTAGTAGTATATGTATCTTTCTTCTGTGGTATCTAGTATACATGACAAACATATATAAATATATATTATTAATCGAATATTTTTAAGGGTTTGTGATTCGTTAAAACTTGATCACATGTACATTTGTATTTACTCAGTTTGCGCGCCAATACTGTTGTGTTCAGCTTTTCGTAGGTCAAAAACAGCGTATTGCACAGGGCATACAGCATGTTACTAAAAATACATTTCACAATACAATACAATACAATACAATATTTTTATTTTTCCAAATTAAAGGGCCCATTTAGAGCATAACATTGGGGCCTCGGTGGCCAAGTGGTCTAAGTAGTTACTACTGTAATCACTAGCCAGTCAACACTGAGGTTGTGAGTTCGAACCCCGCTCGTGCGGGTGCACTCGACTCCAATCTTAATTGACTAGGATTGTCAGTTTTCCTATCGAAGGTCGGTGGTTTTCTCCGGGCACTCCGGCTTCCTCCACCAATATAAACTGGCCGCCACGAAATAGCCCAAAAGCGGTGCTTAAAAGTGGCGTTAAAACACCAAAAAAATCAAATAAAAAAATAGAGGATAACATTAATAACAACATGACATAGACATTACAGAGTGATTAAAGAAACATAAAATAATAGTTCAAATGCATGAGGAAATCCCCAATTTTACAGTTGCTGATTAATAATATAACAATTGTAGCCTTTGGTTGAGGTCAATACGAGATTATATCGACCCAGAGAAGCATATTGACCTTTGAACGGTTTACAATTTAGACTTATTTATATTTTTTCGTTTGGGCTTGTATTATATTTGCCTTCGGATTTATATGATCCGTTCATCCTATTTCGACTCTTTCAAAATTCAAGAGTCTATCCTAAATTGAGCTAAATTATATGGCCTTCCAAATACAGTTTTGGATTCCTAACATCACTGAAGAGACATACGGATATTGTGTACAAATGTTTGCACCTCATCTTTGCGGTATACCATCTTTTCCGCAAGTTTATTGTTTTCTGTTTGGTATTAAATTAATAATAAAGATTCATTTTGTTACAACTTGTGATCCGTTTATTTGGCAATCGCCAGTGGCAGTCAGCAGGGTTTAAGAACATCCGTTGTTCGACCTGTTAGTCAAATGCGTTTTGTTAAAATATACTTTTTTCACTTGTTTGGTCTTTTTTACAATGTTGATTGTGCTGTATTTAAACCTCTCTACCAAAAATTGCGGTTTTCATCCAACGCAATCATAGGTTTGAACGTTGTTTTCAATTTAGACTTGTTTATATATAAGTCTAAATTGAAAACAACGTTCAAACCCATGATTGCGTTGGATAAAAACCGCAATTTTTATACGTGTGCATGCAAAACAAATTTCTTGTTAGAGGGGTCTAAATACAGCACAAACATATATAAATTGTATGGTTGTCATTTGCTTAGACTTGTTTGTATGACATACCTATTTCTAGTGTCTGTATAATGATTTGAATCATTATCTCATACGGTATATAAAAATTGTTGAGTTTGATTGCTGACAAATAAAAATACATTGTGTATAAAAAAATAATATAGCACCTACACACGCTCAAAACACATGTCTTATGTCTATCTCTAGATTCGCCTTACGTGACAAGGTAAAACTACGACTATTGAAGTTATATTTTAATATAGCGGATGTGGCCGAGTGGTCTAGAGCGCTGGACATGAGGCTAAGCGATTGGTGATGTAGTGTATCAAAGGTGTGAGTTCAAATCCCGGTGAGAGACAAAAATTTGTCAGCATAAAAATCTAATTCTAAAACTGTTGGGTTTAGTTTTCAGACTTATATATATATTGCTGGATGTTAGATGATAAACAAGAATATGCGCCCATGGACACCATGCTTTGCTCGCACTATCTTTTATTCCATGTTTAGTGAACCTTGAAATCTAGATAAAAACACTAAGTTGCATGTCGTTGTCGAAACCAAGAGTTGAAGAGTTAATACCACGTTTGCATGACCACCTCTTGCGTTGTTAACAGCACTTACTGTAAATTCTTAATTCTACATTTAAGCAGATCTCTTTGGTGGTCTCGTGGTAGCGTGTTCTCCTCGAGATCGGTAGGTCGTGGGTTCGAATCCCGGTCGGGTCAAACCAGAGACTATAAAATTGGTTCCCCGCTAAGAACGCGGTATTAAGGAGTAAGAGCAAAGACTGATCGGCTCGGAGTCAGAATAATGTGTCCGGGTAAAGTGACATGTCTTCCTGTAAGCTGTTATAGCTTTTGAACAAGCACGTTAAAAATCCGACTCGGCGTGTCGGTCTAGTACAAAGCAAAGTTAATATCTATATTACATTAACATGTTCTCGTAACGTCCTGAATATTCATAATTAATTTGCCACTGGACGTTAAGCAACCATCCATCATCAACATACATTTACTTGTCCTAAGTCAGGAACCTGATGTTCAGTGGTTGTCGTTTGTTGATGTGGTTCATAAGTGTGTCTCGTTTCTGTTTTTTTTATATAGATTGGACCGTTGGTTTTCCTGTTTGAATGGTTTTACACTAGTCATTTTGGGGCTCTTTATAGCTTGCTGTTCGGTGTGAGCCAAGGCTCCGTGTTGAAGGCCGTACTTTGACCTATAATGGTTTACTTTTACAAATTGTGACTTGGATGGAGAGTTGTCTCATTGGCACTCATACCACATCTTCTTATATCTATTTAAGCAATACTTCATTCTTTTACGGGGGAGCGGATTAACGCACAAACCGACCGATTTACTGACCGGAAAATATACCATCGTAGGCGGGACATAAAAATAGAATATCGTTTGATCCTTTTTTTTTTATTGTTTGGTAGTTTGCCCCTAGAAAATGTACATACACACATATATAGGTTATTGGTTTTTGATTGTTAGATATTGTAATTTAATTTTATTGCCCTTTTCAATTTTACTATACACAATGCAAGGCAGCAAAACGAAAAAAAGACTCCAACATAAGTATTAGGCAAAAAGGTATAATCAATAACTGAACTCTTTGAATTTCGATTTTTTCAATAAGACCAAAGGGCAAAAGTGCGATTTAATACTGCCAAGCAAGTTATAATTAAACGTGTATGTGTGTGGGATGAAAAAAAAAATAAAAATTACATTACTATTTTTACGTAAGTTATATAATTTATATTAAAAAAAAGCATGAAAGACGAGGCAATATGTTTCCGAAAACTAATGTCCCTACTGAATGTATGTTTCTGACATATTTGTACTATACAATTTATGATTGTGGTTAAATTTTTACACCATTGAATCGTTTAATGTATTTTACGTACGTAAAAGTTATCCTGGTACAAACATAGGGCATATTATTAGTTATCTTGGTGTAATCAGGGGTGTACAGAATTTTACACCGGTGTGGAAAATTCATACACCCTGAGGTGTATAATACATAAATTTTTGTCCTCAAATTAATTAATTTTTTATTTTCTATTATTTGTTTTTTTTTACATTTTAATTTTTGTTTCTTTATGATTTTGCCAAAATTTTATTTTTTGGAATGTTTGGCAACTTTTTATTTATCCCGGGGTGAACAAGGGTGGGGTGTTATTTACACCGGGGTAATTAACCAATCAGATTGCAGGATTTTTGCTGCATAAGAAATAAATATATATATAGTTCAAATCTAAGCTTTTCAAATGCATCAAAACGTTGAAGTAATTTTTAAAATTTATATAAAGGCCTTGTTCGTGCCTATTTTTAAAATTTATTATGTCCTGACGGTAGCTTTTTTCAGCCGCAGTTGATCATATCAGTCAAACCTTTTCTAACTAATTGACCCAAGATGGGTGAGGGGTAGGCACCCCAAAACATGTTTAACTTGATGTATTCTGTATGTGCTTGCCCCAGGTCAGGAGCCTGTAGTTCAGTGTTTGTCGTTTGATGCTGCATATTATATTTGTGTTTTGTTTTTTGTTTTGAACAAAAATCAGGCCGTTTGTTTTCTAGTTTGAATTGTTTTGCATTTGTCATTTAGGGCCCTTTATAGCTTGCTATGTGGTATGGGCTTTACTTATTGCTGAATGCCGTACAGTGAGCCATAGTTGCTATAACTTCTACGTCATTTGGTCTCTGGTTGAGTGTTGCCTCATTGGCAATCATACCACATCTTTTAATATGTGATATTAAATGTCTTACTATGCAAATACGCATTGTTTTTGTAATATTATATGAAGCTCAAATGACGAAAGGGGCTTAAATAGGGGTTTTTAGTGTCTGAGGGGGAGATTTTGACCTCTTTCTCAGGTCCAAAATTTGGGAATTCAAATTTGTATTTAAAAAAGAGGGAGTCTTCCCCTAGAAGTGGTGCGTCGGCAGGTATGTTGCACTTAACTTTTATATCAGCTTGTATAAAGTGAACGAGAAAATTTGTACAATACCTTGTAGGCGTTTTCTAATTTTAAAACGATGACGGACGGTTTAACTTAATACTGCTATACGGCGTGACAATGGAAGGATTAGTTGATGTATGATTAACCTACTTGATGAAATCAATCAACCGTATCTAGGAATAAAGTGACCGTCTCATGTTTGACTGATGATTGGTTGTTTCTTAACGCACCTTTAGCATTCAAATGAATATTGTATGAATCTGAAATCTGAGTGTTGTTCCAACACGGTCAAATCCGACCTGCGACCTTGGAAGGGAGCGGGGCGCGGGTGATTTTGCGACCTGACGTCCATTTAAAAGGACATGTGACCTTTAATTTTTGTTTTTAAATTTGAGAATCAGATCAGTTTAGAGCCATAAAGTTTGCTTGATAGCGACCTGGTTACCTTATGACCTAAATGGAGAGGGGTGCCCTACTGGAGCCCCTTGTGTTGTACTAGATTGACACGCACAATTTATAAAAAAAAGTATGTTTTATTAGAATATATGTATATTTGTAAATACATGTAAATAGTCATCTGTTTAATTTGTCGAACTCTCATATTACAAACAAAAAAACTGAATAAGGCATGCACACCTTTAAAAATACTATATATACGTGCTGTATTCGAAGCTTTTTCTATATATTATTCATGCAGGAAACTCGGGCAATAGTTTGGAAACAATTGATTATCATATAAAATGTATTTCATACTCACTGATTGATAAATTTTTGATGTTTAATGTCAAGTTGTATGTTAAACGGAAATATTTTAACGTCACAGTACCCAAATTGCACCTATCTAGCAAAAATAGCAGCGAAAATCTTACAAGTTTTCTTAAGGACTAAACAATTAGTATTTTTTTATTATTTGACATTATGCACGTCTGTCAAATAGGTAAATATATTCAAATATTCACAAAACGTTCACAGTAAATATCAACACATGAAGTATTCACTTTTAAAAATGAGCAAATAAAATATGTTACGAGCATCCATTTCTTAAGAAATGAATAGTAAGCATGTACTAATATCAAATTGTTCTAAATATTTGAAGAAATTAAACAAAACATATGTTATTTGATTTTTAAGGATTTGAATTTAAGCATGGATGCAATTTGGGTACTCCTCATTACAGAATCATGGATCGTTTGGAGGTCTGTTCAAACCCATTTTTCTATGATTCAATATGGATTCAAAATTAAATTGATGGAGCTATATAGTAAATAAGGATACATCTACAAAGTAAACACAGAATTGAAACTTATGTCTGGATCATAAATATAGGTGAAAAAACTGTCAAAATAGGTGCAATTTGGGTACCCTCATATGCATTAAGGCTTTATTAATGAATGACTCGAAACGCAACACGTACTATAATAATTCAGTAAACTCTCTTGTGTACTATGTTGTTGCATGGTTAATGAAGGCATGATTAAAAGGTAAATACAAAATGAATTGTAATTGTTTCAATGAGAACCTGCATGTGCAGGATATATACCTTTCACTGGTTTATGATTCCATCAAGATTTTTCATTCATCAAGCATTGCTGATTGTGGTTTTAAATGGCCTTTTTAACTTTTTTATTTGGCCTTTTTAACTTATTTCTTTGATTCGAGCGTCACTGATGAGTCTTTTTTAGACGAAACGCGCGTCTGGCGCAAATACAAAATTTCAATCCTGGTATCTATGATGAGTTTATTTACAACCACTGGGTCGATGCCATTGCTGGTGGAGTTTTAATTCCCCGAGGGTATCACCAGCCCAGTAGTCAGCACTTCTGTGTTGACATGAATTGTCATTGATATGGTCATAATTATAAATCAACTGTTTACAAAACTTTGGATTTTTGAAATGCTAAGGCTTTTCTACCTCAGGAATAATAGATTACCTTAGCTGTATTTGGCAAAACTTTTAGGAATTTTTGGTCCTCAATGCTCTTCAACTTCGTACTTTATTTGGCCTTTTTATCTTTTTTTGATTCGAGCATCACTGATGAGTCTTTTTTAGACGAAACGCGCGTCTGGCGCAAATACAAAATTTCAATCCTGGTATCTATGATGAGTTCATTTACATGCCATTGCTTCGAAAGTTTTACGAATTCAACCAGTATTTAATTGACTGTTTTGGAATAGTTCTGTTTCGTCTATATAAGACTCTTCGACTGATGTTATGTATCCCATGTGTATCTTTTTGGTGTAGCGGACATGCCCATTGGTTGCGGATTTAGTCCATGGGTCGTAGTCACAAGCTTGTCCATCTTTCAGCGTGTATACCGCCAACGAATGAGATTTACACTGACTTAGTGCATGATCAACACAAAGGTTGCTACTAGTGGAGCAGGAAACCAGGAAACGCTTTGTCACACCTTTTCAAAATATTTTGTTTTCAATGCTCTTGAACGTCGTATTTGATTTTCCCATCCAACTGTTTGAATTTGAGCGCCACTGGTGAGTCTTATATAGACGAAACGTGAGTCTGGCGTACCAAATAAGATGGTATCTTTGATAAATGTTTACACTTCCGGAAAAAAAAAACGAGTACACCGATGTTTGACAAGGTGGAGTTAATGTTGTTTGAACTTTAGGGAGCTACCATTTTATTTTTAGGGGGGGGGGGGGGGAAGGCTAGGATGAAATTTGAAAAAAAAGGCAGGACAGGAGTTTTGAGGTAAAAAAAAAGCAGGATGAGCAACTTGGCAAAAAATAAAGGCAGGATGACAATTTATGTAAAAAAAGTCAGGATAAACTAATAAAAAAAAAGGCAGGACCGAATAGAGTGAAAAATAAAAAGGTAGGACAGAGATTACAACTAAAAAAAAATGCAGGACAAAATTTTTCATCCTAGCCCCCCCCCCCCCCCCCCCACCCCCCAACCCCCCCCCCCCCCCCCCCCCCCCCCCCATAAAAATCAAATGGTAGCTCCCTTAGTTTTCTGTGAAGTGTTTTGTGGACTGTCTTTTGTCTTTTCAACTTTTTTATTTTTGTCTTAGTTTTGTTTGTCTTCTTCGACTGATGTTATATGTCCCATATCATCTTTTAATAGGATTTGCTTACCCTTCCTTAGCACTTGAGATCACTTCCGGTTTTTGGTGGGGTTAGACGTGTTTGTCTTACGTCATTTTTTTGTTGTTGTTAGTTTATCTCGACTTACATGGGTTTTGAATGTCCTCTTTGTATCATCCGCCTCTTTTTGACTTCTTTTCACCAATGTAATAGTAGGTAAAACAAACACTAGAAATTAATGAGTTATAAAATAAGGAAACTAACCATTTAAACGTGTCTTCCTGACAATATACAGATGATATAACGTGATTTTTAAAGGAAAAGTTTATAATTTAATAATTGTATCCTGTCGTCAATGAATATCAACAGTGCGTAATTTATATATCTTTACAGGTTTCTAGAAGTCTTACTGGCAACAACTCAATATCATATATGTTTTTGAATGAAAGAGGATGACGTTTTTTCTGTGAATCCGATATTGAAGGAGAGTCTTATTGTGGGGACATCTCAAAACAACCTAGGATTCTATTCATTCCTCTACAACTAGTACTGGAGTATGAGAAAAAGAAAAAAAAATCAGCACATATTGGAGAAAATCTTTCAATATTAGGTAATTATTTTCATGTTGCCATTGCTTTTAATCTTATATGTGGGTCTGGATGTGAGGTCTTTTACGTCTTTATTTTTTAATTTTCAGACCATTTTTTTCTATCCTGTATCTATTTTCCCCATTATTCTCTATGCTCCCATTATTCTCTATTCTTTATATTGTAACACCCCATTATTCTCTATTCTTTATATGTTAACAATCTATTGTTATCTATTCTTTATGTATTTCTTTTTTTGCCGATATTTGTCTGTTGCATTTTTTGTTCATTGTTCCCTATTTTGTAATCCCCGTCCAGAACCTTTTATATCAAATCAACAGCAAGTTGATGGGTGAACATATGCTTGAATGAAAGTTTTATGTTTTGAGATTGTTCCTTATTTTTCTAACAGTTGCTCTTAGCTACACCGACATAGAAACCCAACCAATGCTTTCTTTTAGAATTATATTATGTGAGAAAAGACCGGATATACCGTGTTTGTTGTTACGGTTAATACCTGTTTACGTAAAACTAGAATGTACTTTTTAAAGACACATGTCAACAAATTTGATAAACAATAGGATTGACAAGTATGACGAAATACATTAACATTAGAAGGAATACAATCAAGTGCGCCAGCGATTGCATTTCAAGAAAAATCAAAATTGCAAAATATTCGACCGGTTAAATGCAAAAATGACAAAGACTTACAGATATTTAATTACAATAGCACACACATAAACAACATTTCCAAATAAATGTTGGTACACCACGTACATAAAGTATAGGAGTGTAGAACTTCACGATTACATATACATTTTGTGTGTAACAGATGAACTACTAATTTGAGCTTGTTGTCAGCAACTACGAGCATTGTTTATAGTACTGTTAAACATTGGTTTGTTCTTGGACCTTTTTCTGTTTTTGTTTTGTTTGAGTTATCTACTGTAACACACTATTAGAGATACGAGCTGATAAAGATCAAAACGGGGAGGTTTCAGCTCTCAACAAATAATTTTACCCCGCCACATGTTGATGTACCTATCTTAAGTCACGAACCTCTATACATGTTTTTTTTTTGTCTTAATTTTTTTTGGCCGTTTTGCGGATTAAACTCGGCCGATTAAGAGCTTTACATATTGTATGGACACAGTTTAAAAACAATAGTGTATTGACCTCCAGATGTCTTGTGGTTAATTTAATGGTTTTGTGCTGCTTGGTTGTTGTCTCATTGGCGTTTACCGTATAACTCCTTTTATCAAACAACTTCTATCACAACCAATACCCATGCATTGTTAGCGTCTCAGGTTCTTCATTAAATTAAGATGATATACTTGTACCAGAAAATGAAACGAACAGCAAATGAACCCCCTTAAGGTAGATAGGGTGTCTTCCTCCATCTTGGATTTTGAAATACCAGAAAATAATCGGTCTAGACCGTTAATAAAATGTGCGAATTTTTAGAGTAGTGGGTAATTCATGTGTAAGAATTTACATTTTAATATAGAAAATGACATGTTTTATTATATTTATGGTTGTATTTTACAAAAAACAGAATACTTTTGTTTGATTCAATTTTTTCCAACTTTGCCACATAAGGGGAGGCAACTCAAATGTAAGGGCAGATAATTCAAATAAAGTTACTTTTACAATAGAATGTGTTAGGAATTTATCTATTTTATTATGTAGCAAGAAAACGGACCCGGTGACCCCATTTTTTCTTTTTCTTATCTGAAAGTATAATATTAGAGCTATCTTCTCATATTTTATCTCAAAATTCTATGGTGCAGTTTTCGTTTTATGGCAGAAAATTGCGTTTTCCATGCATAATCTATACAAAATCTGTCAATTTTGCACAACCTGTAGCGTGAAAATAAGCCCCGTGACCCATTCTTTTTATTATTTTTTCCAAAAAAGCATGATATAAACTACATTTTGGCAAATTATTAAAAAAATCTATGGATTATAATATAGACACCCCATCTACCTTAAAGTCAACATAAAGTTAACCAATGCATACTGTTCATAAGTGTTTCTTGTTTCTCGTTTTTTTATATAGATAAGACCGTTGGTTTTCCTGTTTGAATTGTTTTACACTAGTTATTTTGGGGCCCTTATAACTTGCTGTACGGTGTGAGCCAAGGCTCCGTGTTAAAGGACGTACTTTGACCTATAATTGTTTACTTTTTTACACATTGTGACTTGGATGGAGAGTTGTCTTATTGGTACTCATACCACATCTTCTTATTTATACTGACGCGTTAAATTTAGAATTGGAGACAAAAAGGAACATTATCATCGTGAAATACGTATGCTCTCACTACATTTGCCGACATGCAAGGGCATAATAAAGGCAAAATGCACTATCACGTTAATAAAATGATATAGTTCTCAACCATTTATGAAACACAAACCTAATTGCAAACCACCAATTACAGAAATATCTTTCGTAGTGATGTTATCACTTAAGAGTGTTCATATATATTTTGTTTTCATAAACTATTGTTGAAATCGTACGAATGATTAATTGGTCAGCTTAGCGAAATAAGTCTCAAAGTTTCTTCCATGTGACCTATATTTGTTTACTTCTACGTTATATGGACTCTGGTGGATAGCTGTTTCATTGGCAATCACACCACATTATCTTATTCATATATAGATATATATATACCTTTTTCGAAGGAAGAAGGAGGGATGGGAGAGTGGTTTCAGAATTTGTCAATATCTGTATTTATATTGATATATAATTGATTGTAAACTGGTTTAACCCTACGACAGTGTGTGCCGTACCAAGTCAGACAATCTTAACCATGCGTTGTTCGTTGTTGTTTCCAAAGTCGTCGAGTGTTGGTGGTTGGTATTGTCTGTTGTACTGCATGTCCAATAGCTTTAGTACTTCCTGTTACCGGGCTCTGTTTATGTACTTCATATCTATAATTATTCTTTTAGCAAGGAAGTTTTCCTCGTATATTTGTACAAAAATATCGATAACCGGTTGCCCTATAATGGAACATTTCCAAATAGGGGATTACAGTCGTAGGACAGACTGCATTGGGGGTTTCATTAATGAAATAAATAATATGTATAACATCACCTGTGAAGTCTTCATGATTTGGTCTTCATAATACAACCGTTAATATATTTTTATTGAATTACAACTTTCCCTAAAACTGTGAAGAGGAAGAACTTGAATAATTAGTTATCGCTAAGTCATCAAATATGTCTTACAATTGCAATGCCAACGCCTATTTTCATGAAGATTTATAATGTTTTGCTTGGTTTTTCCCATGTGTAAGCTCTATCATAATTGCAGACTGTTGGTAGAATTTCCGCTTCTTCGCATCTGGACTGTCTGATTGGTTGTGCCATGTAAAATGTGGTTATATGTGCTGTGTAATTACACAATAATATTATGCAAAAAGTTGCAATTGATGGACACATATGTCATAAGATGTCACTCTGACTTGTTTATTTTATGCAAATTTAGTTTTAAAGTACGTTTCTTCAATTAACCAATAAAAAATATTTCTAAATAAAACCACCAATCGTTTACGATTTCAACGCCACACTTAGATTGACAAAAATTACGTCAGCGAATCAAAAATAGCGTTACAAAATTAACGGAAATAAATAAAGGTAGAACGCCCTACAAACCATTCAACCGTACGAGAACGGAAGTTTCTTTACTTTTGTCTAACAAATTACTATATTAATTATGTATTTCTTGTTTTTGATATATGTAATTATTTACACTACTACACACTTTTGTGACTGACATGCGGAAACATAGGCCATTCATTAAACCAGTAGTAGACGTTACATAAATTAAGTACGATGCAGTATTTTTGTAAATTACTATACATAGAGCGTTTTAAGGTTATTAATAACCAAGAATAATTTCAAAAAAATATAAAAGATATATCTATGACATTTACGTAATTATTATGTCTCCCATTCACGGGGAACTATTCATACGGTATTTTTTTGGCGGTAAACGGCAAAACAAAATTGACAGTATGATGATGCCACTTTTAAAAAAATCTAGAAAGTAATATGTTCTTGAAATAACCCTCAAAATATGAAAGATATATCTATGACATTTACGTAATTATTGTTATGTCTCTCATTCACTGGGAACTATTTATACGGTATTTTTATTTTGGCGGTAAATTGCAAAATAAAATGGACAGTATGATGATGCCACTATCAAAAACATCTAGAAAGTAATATGGTCTTGAAATAACCCTCAAAGGATATAATATGTCCATTAATAACTGGAAACAAAGAAGCCATACTAATTAACCTCACACACAAAACAGTAATAACCAGACGAAGCCAATGTGTCGACTACATGTAAATTGCACATTTACAACAAAACTGTGTGACTACGTGAACCATAAATAACATAAAAAAAAACATAAACTTATCGTCGTCTCTTAAATTACTTCGCTAACCTAAATGAACTAAGCAGGTGTGGTTGTTGGCCTATTTGTCTTTAGTATTGGCTCATTATTCTCTATTCTGTAAACCCCATCCACCCTTATTTATTGTGGGGTGATTAGGTGGTATACATAGTGAAAATGATCTAAATTAGAACCATCAGTAGTTTACCGATTTTGAAAATTTCATGATGCCATTAAGATGATACACATCAAGGTAAAAAGTAAAATACCAAAAATACCGAACTCCATGGAAAATTCAAAACGGAAAGTCCCTTATCAAATGGCAAAATCAAAAGCTCAAACACATCAAAAGAATACAAAAACAACTGTCATATTCCTGAATTGGTACAGGCATTTCCATATGTAGAAAATGGTGGATTAAACCTGGTTTTACAGCTAGCCTAACCTCTCACTTGTATGACAGTCGCATAAAATTCCATTATATTGACATTGAACAAAACAAACAGACATAATAAGTAAAAATGTCAATAATATGGGGACAGCAGTCAATATTGTGTTTTAATCGTAATCAAAATAAAAACAAACAAATATGTAAAACAACCTGAGGAAACCGCATGGAT